ATTTGAATTAGTGCAGCGCTGTATAGCAAAAAAAGGCATAAATTACAGTATCTATACCATAGTTTGTAGACGCTATAACGTTCACACAAAGCAATCAATATACACTTATTGGGATTTTTTTTACCAAAAACATGTAGCAGAATACATTTTGGCTGAAATTTATGACTAACTTTGAGTTTACGATATATTTTTTATAGCTGAAAGTAGAAAAAATTGGTTTTTTTTCAAGATTTTCGTGTTTTTTTGTTTATAGCGCCAAAAATAAAAAGCGCACAGGTGATCAAATACCACCAAAAGAAAGCTCTATTTGTGTGAAAAAAAGGACGTAAATTTCGATTGGGTACAGCATTGCATGACCGCGCAATTATCATTTGAATTAGTGCAGCGCTGTATAGCAAAAAAAGGCATAAATTACAGTATCTATACCATAGTTTGTAGACGCTATAATGTTCACACAAAGCAATCAATATACACTTATTGGGATTTTTTTTACCAAAAACATGTAGCAGAATACATTTTGGCTGAAATTTATGGCTAACTTTGAGTTTACGATATATTTTTTATAGCTGAAAGTAGAAAAAATTTTTTTTTTTTTTTAAATTTTCGTGTTTTTTTTGTTTATAGCGCAGAAAATAAAAAGCGCACAGGTGATCAAATACCACCAAAAGAAAGCTCCATTTGTGTGAAGAAAAGGACGTAAATTTTGTTTGGGTACAGCATTGCATGACCGCGCAATTATCATTTGAATTAGTGCAGCGCCAAACAGCAAAAAAGGCCTGGTCATTAAGGGGGGTAAATCCTCTGGGGCTCAAGTGGTTAAATAACCTGATGTTATAACAATTACATTGTTAGTTTTTGTACTTCAGTTGACATCCTACTCAGTCTTTTATATTGTATGCCTTATGTACAAATAAAGGAATTACAAATAACCAGTATTCCTCTTTTGCACAAGCTATTGTAGCTCAGAAAGTGAGACACATACATGCTGCATTGTTCAATTAATGTTGCACAGTGCAAACAGCGCTCCACGGCGCTGAGGTTCAGGATGTGAAAGGTGCATACAGTGACATATGTGATAAAAGTCAATATTTCCAATGATAGTAATAAATGGTGCGAAAATCCGTGACTGCTGTGGCTGTGAGAATGGATGTAGATTGCACTAACCAGAAAGCGCAATCTCTTGCGCATTGGAGTATAATAAGACCAACTCTTGGTCATCTAGATCTAGAACACTGCAGCTCAGGGGGTCATCCTAACATTAGGCCTAACATTAGTGACGTCACTCCGCACGGCTCACATGGACGGCCGGCGGCCATCTTGGTTTTTTCTGATGTAAGTCCATTTACCTTTTTGTCATGTCCATTTATTTTTACCAATAAACTACTACAAGACTTCCCTCTTGGGCTTGTTTTTGCTGCGAGCCCCCCCCCCACTGCATATATTTATGTTTATCTATTTTATGCGAGCAGCTTTTTCATTTGTTTATCCACCCAGCACTCGTTTATTTTACCTGAATGTTGCACAGTGTTTGAGTGCTCATCGTGTTCTTATAAGCTTGTGTTACCTGAAGGAAAGGCACTATTCCATCTCTTGCAATGGCTTGTAGAAGACGAGGCGCTCCTGTCAAACTCTGGAGTCCAGCACCACAAGTAGAGAAGAAAGAGCCAATAACAATTACCCAAGGAGATGGCCAAGCCAAAATGCCTATTACAAGCTGACCACTAACGGATTCACCAAATCTGTGAAGAAAAAAAAAAAATGTTTTTTTTCTTTAATGAAACATGAGTGAATGGGTTATTTTGTTATCTTAGATAATGATATAACATAGCTTATATCGATGATTAATATACTGTATACTCTACAAAACGAGCACACTTATGTAACTAGTGGAATTTTTTTTTTGGTTCTCATGCTATCCTGGATACACTTGCCTATATCTACTGCCCCGCCAACTCTTCAACAGACTGCGTACATCATACATAGTTGCTAGCAACACTGTTGTCCAGAGAAGTTCACCGCGTGGCCTGCTCACTACCACAAAACCTCTGCCTGAAATATTCAGAAATATTCTGATATATTGGTGGATGTACCACAGTCTTTATACAGTAGATTCCAATTGAATGCTGACAAAAAGACTTCCATGGTGCGAGTGTGCTAGTACAGATTTAGTATAGTATGAAGGACAGCAAATATAATTCTCAACACAATTTCCTGGCACTGTTATAAAGTGCCCAGAGTTTTCCTGCACAGCTGTTATCATTTATGTACAGAAAATCTATAATGATATACTGTAAACGTCTACTACAGTACTTTTCTTCTGTTCCCCAAAAGATCTTGCCAGTACAGCAAGTAGGAAAAACTCAGATTTGACGACATGGGTGCATGGCAATATCTGTATAGAGCATGCTACTGTATAATGTATATGTTCTTGTTGTAAACCCAGTCAGTTTTCCCACATCTAAAGGACAAGGCATTGCATTAACAATTGATTTTTAGAAGAAAGCTTTGCTGAAGATTTCTACAGGTCTTATGACTTTATTTTTTATTTTTTTATTTTTTTTTACTTCAGCACGTCCAGGGTCAGGGACTGGGCTAAAGCTGCAGAGGGTGACATGTCCGGGTTATTTTGCGTCATCTTTTTCAGCCCAACCAGGCCATACAGAGTGGAGTGAAGTTTTCAGGCAAGCATTTGATCTGCCCTGCAGGCAGCAACACCTGCAGAGCAGATAGGATGTTTGACAGCTTCAATTCACTCTGCATGGCCTGGGGGAAAAGCCTGAAAAAGATGAAGGACATCTCCAGGAAATGTAACCTGCTGTGGGTTTAGCCGAGCTCCTGAGCTGCAAGTAGACACAACTTAACGAGTAGAAGAGAAACATACACACTGTGCTGGCAATACTGCAGAGGCTATATAAGCTCACTGCCACTAATAACAAGGACGGATGAGTAACTTGCAAGATCAATTGATAATTTATCTATAAGGAAATATTTATTAAAACACAAAAAGGACATTCAATTATTAAGAAAGTGTTCCTATTTTTACACACACACACACACACACACACACACACACACACACACACTTTACAATTGCCTAGCTTTTTACTTACTTGTCACGCAGAAGTGAACCTTCGATGCATGCACCAAATAATACTACACAAGACAAATCTGTTGTGAGTTATTAAGGAACAAAATAGAAAATATTTCAACGTGTAAGACTATTTCCCAAAGTTCAAAGCCAATTAAAAAAGAAAAATAGTACATTCAGGTCACATTTCTAAATTTTTCCAATGATTATATTTACTAAAGCAATGATAGTGCAGCAGTGTGATTGCTTTTTTAAAATATAGATGCATTCTTATTTAGGTCGCCTTAGACACGGTCATAAACTCCTGTGCATATACCACAGGGCCACCTTGATAGACGGCCGGTGGCCATATTGGATTCAGATGTAAGTTCTTTTTTAACCTGCTTATGCTGACATTTTTTGGAAATAAAGACCTACTACACCATTGGAGGCTTTCTCTGGGCTCTTCATTCCTTTGGGAGCCTGTTTTTTGAAGGTTTATCTGTGGCTTGGATTGGTGCATGACCCTTCCCCTGGTGGCTGTGACTGGCATATTCGAAAACTGGAGGGTATACCTGGATGGATGACACCTAGTGGCCTATAAACTGATGACACCTATCCTTGTGGTATTACACATCCAGAGTACCAGGAGCAGGTCTTATATGCTCCATGCGCATTAATTGCGCTATCTGGTTAGTGCAATGTTTGTCTATCTTCACAATCACAAGAGTCACAGTTTTCCTCCAGTATGGATTTATTAAATACTTGCACGGAACACTTTATTCATTTCACCATATAATGGACTCATCTTTTATATAATCCAGTGTGTTGTATTAGTCCAATCTTTTCTACATACAGTTGCAAGAAAAAGTATGTGAACCCCTTGGGATTACGTTGAGTTTTGCATGAATTGGGCATAAAATGTGCTCTGAACGTCATCTAAGTCACAACAATAGAAAAACACAGTCTGCTGAACATAATACTACACAAACATTAGATGTTCCCATGGTTTAATTGCACATAACATGTAAACATTCACAGTGCAGGGAGGAAAAAGTATGTGAGTCCCTAGCTTAATGACTTCTCCCAGAGCTAATTGGAGCCAGGAGTGAGCCAACCTTGACTCCAATCAGTGTGATGATATTGGATGTGTTGCTGACAGCTGTCCTGCCCTTAAAAAAACACACACCTGTTTTGGGTTTACTGGTTTCAAGAAGCACTCTCTGATGTGAACCATGCCTCGCAGAAAAGAGCTCTCAGAAGACCTATGATCAAGAATTGTTGACTTGCATGAAGCTGGAAAGGGTTACAAAAGTATCTCCTTGAGCCTTGATGTTCATGTGTCCACGGTAAGACAGACTGTCTACAAATGGAGAAAGTTTAGCACTGTTGCTACTCTCCCTAGGCATGGTCGTCCTGTAAAAATGACTGCAAGAGCACAGCGCAGAATGCTGCATGAGGTAAAGAAGAATCCCAGAGTGTCAGCTAAAGACCTACAGAAATCTCTGGCACATGCTAACATTTTTGTTGACACATCTACAATAAGGAAAACATGAAACAAGAATGGAGTACATGGGAGGACACCACGGAGGAAGTCATTGCTGTCCAAAAAGAATATTGTAGCACGTTTGAAGTTTGCAAAAGAGCACCTGGATGTTCCACAGCACTACTGGCAAAATATATACTGTGGACAGATGAAACCAAGATTGAGTTGTTTGGGAAGAACACACAACACTATGTGTGCAGAAAAAAAGGCCCAGCACACCAACATCAAAACCTCATCCCCACTGTGAAACATGGCGGAGGGAGCATCATGGTTTGGTGCTGCTTTGCTGCCTCAGGGCCTGGACGGATTGTTGTCATTGATGGGAAAATGAATTCCAGAGTTTATCAAGACATTTTGCAGGAAAACGTACGACCATCTGTCCGCCAACTGAAGCTCCACAGAGGATGGGTGATGCAACAGGACAATGACCCAAAGCATACAAGTAATTCTTCAAAACAATGGCTGCCACAGCACAGAATACGCCTTCTGGAGTGGCCCAGTCAGAGTCCTGACCTCAACCGATTGAAATGCTGTGGCATGACCTTAAGAGAGCGATTCACACCAGACATCCCAAGAATATTGCTACACTGAAACAGTTTTGTGAAGAGGAGTGGTCCAAAATGACTCCAGATCGTTGTGCAGGTCTGATCTGCAACTACAGGAAACGTTTGGTTGAGGTTATTGCTGCCAAAGGAGGGTCAACCAGTTATTAAGTCCAAAGGTTCACATACTTTTTCCTCCCTGCACTGTGAATGTTTACATGTTATGTGCAATTAAACCATGGCAACATCTAATGTTTGTGTAGTATTATGTTTAGCAGACTGTGTTCTTCTATTGTTGTGACTTAGATGACGTTCAGAGCACATTTTATGCCCAATTCATGTAAAACTCCACGTAATCCCAAGGGGTTCACATACTTTTTCTTGCAACTGTATGTTCACTTACTAGCACTGCATATTTATGTATTTTATGATTTTACTACACAAAATCTGGGATGTTACAACAGCCATTTCTGAGTTCACTTGGGTGTATTTAAGCTGGCCATACACTGATAATTTTTCTTGTTCAGCCGGAGGACTGAGAAAAATAAAAAAAACAAACAGATTCCTTAATCCCTGCTAACAGTGAGAATGGACAAATCTCCCACTGCGACTTTTATATTTTGACAACTGATCTCCCTGGTGGTCAAAATACCTAAACAGTGGCTGCATCTGATTGGATGCAGTTGGTTTTCAGTCAGCAATTTTCTGCCGACACCTAACATTTTTTAATCAAAATATAAATCGGATGTTAGGTGGCTGCCCACTGAGTGAGTTTCATCCAGTTTCTAAGAAATCAATAGAAATTTGTGCAGTCCATGGCCAGCTTTAAATAGAACCGTCACAGCTAAAAAAAGTGCTGTTCCTCCCTCCTATAAAAGCAGTATTTGCACTGATCCAGTCTGGTATACTAAATCTTGAGCTTGCCAAAGTGTGAGTCAACCCTGACTAGAAAGACTTTTACTTTGTTTCCTTAGGAGGGTCATTTGTTGTAAATTTATCAAAATACAACTAATGAAGCACTGGGCTTTATAAGTAGAGGCATCCTAAAGCCAGTCCCAGCAAAACTAAAGCCCAGACTAATGCAGGCCATAGACGGGGAGAAAAACGGCAGATTTTTCTTTTAAAAAATGAAAAATCGGTCGTTCAATCGGCCGACGTTACCATCAATGGTAAAAAAAAAATCGTCCGATTTTCATCCCGTCTACAGCCGACAAAAAGTGTCCCTGCAGAGAGCTCTGCTATTTCTTTGACAGTTCCTTGACATTTACAGAGGTTGCAACAATGTATCTATTTGTATCCATTTAGGATACATATGTTTTTATTCGGAAACAAATAGATACAATGTTGCAACCTCTGTAAATGTCAAAAAACTGTCAAAGAAATAGCAGAGCTCTCTGCAGAGACACTTTTTGCAGGACTGGAATTCCTTTTATTTTTCATCCTCTTCTTCTCCTTCTTCATCATCCTCTTCTTCTCCTTCATCATCATCCTCTTCTTCTTCTACTTCTTCATCAGCATCCTCTTCTTCTTCTACTTCATCATCAGCATCCTCTTCTTCTTCTACTTCATCATCATCATCATCCTCTTCTTCTTCTACTTCATCATCCTCCTCTTCTTCATCATCCTCTTCTTCATCCTCCTCCTCTTCTTCTTCATCATCATCCTCTTCTACTTCATCATCATCCTCTTCTACTTCATCATCATCCTCCTCCTACTTCATCATCATCCTCCTCCTACTTCATCATCATCATCATCATCCTCTTCTTCATCATCATCCTCTTCTTCTACTTCATCATCCTCTTCTTCTTCTACTTCATCATCATCCTCTTCTTCTTCTACTTCATCATCATCCTCTTCTTCTTCTACTTCATCATCATCCTCTTCTACTTCTTCATCATCATCCTCTTCTTCATCATCATCATCCTCTTCTACTTCTTCATCATCATCCTCTTCTTCATTCTCTTCATCCTCTTCTTCCTCTTTCTTTTTTGTCTTCCTCTTGCAGGTCACTGCTCATGCGCAGATTTTTTATCGGTAAAAAAATCGGCCGATGAGCCCATTATTGCCGCGAAAATCGGCCGATCGGCAAAATCAGCCGATTTTTTTCCAACTTTCCCAATTAAAAAAAACGGCCAAAATACCGAAAAACGGCCGAACAAATAGCCCACTAACGATCCGAAAATCGGCCGATTGTATTTTCGGCCGAAAAATCGGCCGATTTTCGACCCATCTATGGCCTGCATAAGCCCCTGTTGCCTTTCTGGAATGACTTACAATTGAGATATTTTCTAACAAGCCTTGGGAAAACTCCCTTCCGTTGCCCCCACAAACAGGTTTTGAAAAGCTCTGTACTTCTCCCACACCAATTAGGCATAGTCCATCTTTTTCCTACAAGATGCCTGCCCTTTCTTCAGAACAGCAAGACCTGCCTTACAACACTAAGTGGAAGGTGGATTTGGGCACCTGCTTTTCAGATCAACAGAAAAGACAGATTTTTTTTTTTCACTCATGTGGCATTCATCTCTAGTTCTCTCCAGGAAATGGGCTTCGAAAAATTGTAACATCAGGGTACAAGGTCCCCTTGCCCATTCATAAGATTTTCCCTCAAAACTTACCTACTGTATGTGCTGGAGATGTTTCACTCAGAAGGCACCCATCTCAATATGCTCTGGAGCTGCCCGGTTTAAAAACATTTTTGGTCAGGAATTCATAACCTCATGTTCAAGCTCCCTGATGTACAATTAGGCAATGATCAAGCAGCATACCTGCTTCATCTGGCTCGCCTCTAACAAAAGCGTTATAAACGCTCATGCGTTTATATCCATTTAAATCAATCCATTTACTCAATTCAGCTAAAGCCTGCATTGTATTGTATTGGCAGCAGACAGTACCCCCACCCATGGGTGTTTTTTACATAGAAACAACAAAATTTACACTGCATAAAACAGTCTCACCTCTTCAAATCACAAAACAGTTTCGCACATTTTCTTTTTTTTTTTTTAAGTGAATATAC